CACACACACCTGTACACGCAGGTGGCTCTCGGGAAACCTGTCGTCCACCACCTGGCCGGCCAGGCTCCACACCTTGACACCACCCCTGCCGCAGGTGAACGCGTGCCGCGTGAAGCTGCTGACAGCCGTGGCTAGCACGGGCTCCCCGTGTTGCAGCATCCGCATCTTCTCCATCCTGTGAGGGACGGCCAACTTCTTGGACTGCCAGGGCAAAGCATCCGGTCTCTTCCACATGTCTTCGAAGTCCTCGAGGTCCCAGCACCTTGGGAGGGGAGGCCTCGGGGTCACCGACTTGCCTTTGAGCCCATCTTCCCCGAGCGGGGGCACCCATCAAGCCCCAGAGGGGCTTTGCTCTTTTTCAGATGTTGGGTTTCTACTCTCAGGCCTCATTTCCTCACCACACTACACTTCCCCCAAAGTCCTCCCCACATCCCTCCAAGTATTCTCCCTCCCCCATAACCCAACACCACTGCCTTCTGTCTGGAATGCTTTGCCCTATCCCAGCAAACTCCCACTCATCCTTCAAGGCCCTAACCATTATGCCCCTTCCTCAAAGAAGCCTTCTCGTCCCCATCTGGGCGCCTCCAGCCTCAAGGTTGGGGCTGTTTGCATCCAGCTCTGACACAGCCCCCCTCCCTCGCCATTCCATGGGAGTTCCTTCCCTAAAGCCCTTGAACCCAGGGCTGGTTCCATAGGGAGAGACAGCGATGCTGACCGTGTCATACATCTCCACCCAGACCTCTCAGCTCCGGTTACTGAGGACAGGACCGTGGCGATGGGGAAGGAGGAGGATGCACCTACACCTCTGGTCCCCTCTATCTGCCGGGGACAGGGTACAGAAAGGAAGGGCAGTGCACATACTTACATGGGCTTCAGAAATCGATAGGCTTGCCCAGCAGGCTCCTGCGGGTGGACCAGGAATCACAGCTGAGCATGTCAGGCCCCTGGGCCCCGTCCCCCCAGCCTTTACAGGCGGTGCCACTCAGGTCCTGGTCTCACCTGGGTCACGCGGGAGCGCACCCCCCGTGCTTCGGTGCCCGGGCCTGTGCTCCCTTCTCGGGAACCCTCATGGGAGCCAGGGGAGGGCTCAGGCCGGCTGAGAACTGGGCAGACAAGAGCCGGTAAGAGGCAGGCAAGGGCTCCCCGGGGCGGGCGGCCCCCTCCCACTGGGGTTACCGGAAGCATCTTCGGGGTGTGGCTCCATGCCTGGGCAGCAGCGTGGTCCTGGGTCCTGGCTTTCCTGCCCACAGGAAGGGGGGCCATCTGGTCAGACCAGAGGACCTGCCTGGGGTCTTAGAACCAGAAAACCTTAGGGGGGTGCAGGCGGCGTGGACAGGACTGACTCGTCAACTGCCCCAAATCTGTCCTCCCACCCAGACGGAGCTGCAGACAGTCTCAGGGCACAGTCCCGAGTCCTCCGAGGGCATCCCAGGGGTAAGGGTGCTAGGGAGGAAGTGCACCAATCCCACAGGAACCGAATGCCCAGACCTGGGGGCCCAGCTGGGATCCCCCTCCTCCGGGTGCCGAGGATTCCAGTTACTCACCAGACCTGGCGTCTCTTCTGTCACTATGACAATGGGAAGAGGGCAGGGCGATGGAGAGGGAGACGGCAGGATGACAAGTTCAGCCTGTGCTGTCCCCCCACACAGCCCGAGGCCACCCCTCTCCCGTCACCCTCAGGGAGACTCACTCCTGTGTCCCGGCCGGTCCACCTTATCGTGGGTCCCAGTGAAAATCTGCCAGAGCTGCTCGGTCAGAACGTCCTGCCAAAGCCTGGGCTCCGAGTCCCAGGGGGTCTGCCTGTCCAGCTGGTGGCCTGGGGCGTCGTCCAGTCCAGAAGGCTGCTGCAGCCAGTCGGAAGACCTCGAGGCCATGACGTCCTCGAAGTTTGGCCCCTGGAGACTGGAGGGACGTGGGGTCCTGACCCCCCGCTGCCAGGAAGCCTCGGGGCTTGCAGGCCTCCAGGAGTCCTGGTCGGCCTGTTCACCAGGGGAGACCTGGCTCTGCTGCGGCTGCAAGCATGGGGTTGTAAGGGACATGAGGACGTGCCCTTTGCCCCGGGCCTGTCCTCTCCCTCCTCGAGGACGCAGAAACCTACCTCCGCCAGCTGGAAGCCCAGGGGCTCGCTGCAGGTCTCCATGATCCGAAGGAAGTTTTCTGCCTGGAGGGGGCAACGTCATCCCAAGCTAAGCCTTCCTGATGGGACAGCCCCGGGGCGTGGATCCCTCCCGTGAGCCCGTTTCCCCGTGCCTACAACGGGGATATACCGCCCCTCGAACATTTTGTGTGAATTCATGATAACGCAGAGCCCTCTGCACTAGACTTAGCGTAAAGCAACTTCCCTATACCCAGAAGCCAGCCTTGGTGGCAGGTGACAAAAATCTAAGTCTAATGACCAGTCACCATTATAATATGACAGTAGAGTCAGATCCGGGTTCGCACCCCAACTTCTTTCCTTGGGATGTCTGAAAACTAAAGCCTGAACACCACTCTGTGCTTAAAACGGCCTCAAGAAGCAAAACGGTGTTTCCACATGTCCCCTGTGTGGGGACAGCATTTGAATTTCCTTGAACGATGGAAAGATACTAAAAAACCGACGGTTACCTCTACGGGGGAAGGGCTGGCAACAGGACAATGGGGGACCCCGTGGGAGGGTCACTCGCATTATTTTATATTTAAAATGGAGCCATGTGACTACCACTGATTCCAAATTTAACAGCTTCTATGGACACACAAGGGACTGAGTAATCTACGTTTCTTTTTCTACCTACCCACAGGACACCTGTCTGTCCTTTTAGGGTACGCTCCTTCCTAGCACATACCCTACTGCTTTTCCCCCGTAGGACTGATCCGACAAAGGTACTGGCTTCACTTTAACCCCTCCTTCCACGGGACTGCGCCTGCACAGTAGCTGCCGGCCACAGATGGCTATTTAAACATCAAGTCGAGTACACTTAAAAACGCAATTCCATCCACGTGGGGCCAGCGGCTGCCGAAGCGGACGGCACCAAGACCCAGCAGCAATGGTTCCTAGAACACGCCCGGCCTCCAGCTGAGGACTCAGACCAAACGAGACAGGAACCTCCCGGCCAGGACGCCCGAGAATTCGCAGCGCGGGGACCCAGCTCCTTGTCATGCACGATAAGGAACTCTCTGGGGTTTGTGCGTGTGCAGCTGTATTTAATCCAGTGCCAGACTAAATATAGTGACCTCAGGAAAGTTCTAGATCTGCCTCATGTGCTAGCTGCTAGCTTCATGTGGCTACTGAACACTTGAAATGTGGCTGGTGCCACTTAGAGGATGGCACTGATTTGGTCTTTGGTCTACGGCCCTGGAGGGGCGCCCATGGGCATTATTAATGCACTCTCCCCGCCACCGTGGGTACCAAAAAGCTCTCCCAACAGCCTTATAAGTGACCCTGCTCTCCATCTCCTGCTCGCGTGACCTGAGAGGGAACTTCCCCCAGCTCCTTGCACCCCCTCGCACCTGGATCTGTAAGTCATAAATCTCGTGACTCTCCTTCCTTTGTGTGGGTGAATTGAAACTGCGCCTTCAATCAAAATGCCCCCGTGGCTTTCACTTCCCCTACGCGGGAGCCCAGATGCAGAGGGAGCCACCTGCCCACCTCGTGTGGGTGGCTTGTGCCCCCTCGTTCAGCAGGTCGTAATCTGCATATTCTTAATTCAGGACACGGGCCCAGCCTCTCAACACATCTGGCCCAGGGTGAACCGGAAAATCCTGGGAAAACGTTCCAACTCACGAAGAAAGACAAGTGATAAAGGCAGGCAGCGTGAGCGCCCACTGCCCTCAGTTCTGTGTAACAGGCACAGAACTGGCTTTCCCATTTTGCAGATGGGAAAACAGAGGCCCAGAGAATCAAAGCCAGTTTCCCCAAATCAGGAGAAACGGGGGCCAGGCAGTGTTCACCTGCCTCCATTGCCCGCCTGGCCCCTCCCCTGCCTGGTGGGGCAGACCGGATGGTGGAGGGAGGGCTGGCATGTGGGTCCCGCTCTCTGAGCCCCAGAGCTCCAGGCTGCTGCCTCCTGGGGCAGCCGGTGATGGATTCCCCAGCTGCGCCTCCCAGTAGCTCAAGGCCCAGGGGAGCCTTCCCCAATTCGCCCTGGCTCGTTAATGCGCAATTTACTGGCACTTTAATGCTCTCAGCCTGCAAAGTGCTGCTCCCTCCTGCCTGCTGGCTGGCCCTCCCCGGGGAGAGCTGTGTGCAGGGGGCTGGGAGCAGGGGGGCTGCCTGCCTGGGATTGTAAACGCACAGGCAGGAGGCTGGCAAAACAAGGAGCAGGGAACAGAGGGGAGGGAGACGGGCAGGGGGTCCCGCAGGACCGCATGGCGGCCAGGGATCATGGCCTGTGGGGAGGGCCCTCCTGGGTGAGCAGCAACGTAAGTGGCCCATCTGGGGGCCTCGCCCCCCAGTCTTGATACTCAGCCAGGGCTGTCAGGGTCCTCCCCAAAGGAAGCCCACCATCTGATTCCTGCTCACCACCCAACCGCTGTTAGTCACCAGCATCCCACATCTGGATGGTCCTAACTGGTCCTCCACGCTTGGCCTGGCCCCCACTGTCCATCCTGCCCACAGCTCCCACCAGAGGGCGCCTGTGAACCACTCACTGAGTCAGGGCCCCCCCTCTGCTGCCCACAGCCCTCCAGGGCTCCCACCTCCCTCCAGGGGAGAAGCCCAAGTACTCCCTGCGGCCCACCAGGCCTGCCCCACCTGCCCCGTCCCCTCCCTGCCCTCCCTCCTCCCTCTCTCTGCTCCAGCCACACGGGTCTCCGGGTCTCCTCGCTGTTCCTCCAACACCTCAGGCCCCATCCTGCCCCAGGGCCTTTGCATGGGCTGCTCCCTCTGCCTCATGTCTTTTCCTCATTGCAGACATCTACACTCCTCCTCTGCCCTCCTTCAAGTGTTTGCTCAAATGTCACCTTCTCAGCGAGCCTTCCCTGACCACCCTGAATTGCAATCCACTCCCAGCCCGGGCCCCCAGCCCCTCAGGCTGTTCTAATCCACCCCCCACCTTTCTCGGGCCCTCACCATCTGACACTGCTGTTTACCAAGCTCCTCTCGCCCCAAGGGCAGGGGTTCGTCTGTGTTCTTTTTTGCCATTTCCCCGGTGGCGCCTACACCACCACTTGGCAAGCAGGTGAGGGATAAATATCTGTTGAATGAATAACTGAGTTCTGGTTGCTTCCTGGCTCCCCCCCTCCGCCCGCTCTGGGTCTGTCTCTCTCTGTTCCCCGAGCTGCCCACCCCAGGCCCTGCTGAGTCGCAGACGCGGCCCTGGCCCTCTGCCAGTCACATCTGGCACAGGCAGCAAGTCCTGCCAGCACCCAGGAGAGAGGGGCCAGGTGGCGGGAGGTCAGGCAGGGGCGGGAGCCGGGCTGCGCTGAGGACAGGGCGCCCCATGCCGGGAGCCCGGGCCCCCCGGGCAGACCTGGCCCCCGCTTGCTCGAGAGCCCGGCCCCTGAGATCTCAGACGCACGGAAGATGACAACCCGGGTGTGCCTGGCACATAAAAGGCCCTTCCCAGCCGCAGCAGCCGAGCCGCCACACAGGGGCCGGGAAGGAAGAGGCTCCGAGACAGGATGGAGATGGACCCCCAAGATGTGGATCCACTGACTCCCGGGGGATTCCAGGTCAGGCCCCCTCCTCTGCCCACAGCCCTCCAGGGCGCCCCCTCCCTTGGGGTAGAAGCCCACGTCCTCCCCGCGGCCCCCCAGGCCTTCCCCGCCCTCCCTCCTGCCTTTCAAGCAGGGGCAGCTGTACCCCGAGCTCCTGCTCACTCACTCACCTGCTTGTGATGTTCCTGGAGACCCTGCCGGATCTTCTGGAACTAGAAGGAACAACAGCGTGACACTGGGAGGTGCTCGGGGGAAGTCGGCCAGGGTCCAGAACCTGAACGCTGTGCTTCTCCCCAACTGTGTGACCCCGGGCAAGTTGTTCGACCTCTCTGGTCCCTAATCTCATCAAATGGGATACACCTCGTACACTCAGAGTGGGAGCTAGTTAGGGAGACCCTTGGATTTCATTCTCAAGGTGAAGGTCAAAGCCCTCCCCGTGGCCCCCCAGGCCCTGCACGACCTGCCCTGTCCCCTCCCTGCCCTCCCTCCTCCCTGTCTCCCCCTCACTCCCTCTGCTCTAGCCACACGGGTCTCCTTGCTGTTCCTCCAACACGCCAGGCCTGCTCCTGCCCCAGGGCCTTTGCACGGGCTGTGCCCTCTGCCTGGCACACCCTTCCCTGTTCTCTCCAGGGCTGGCAGGAGCTCCTTATCTTCCACGTCTCACTGTGAACATTGCTTCCTCCAAGAAGCCCTTCCTGACTCCCTCAGCTCAAAATCTGTGCTCATTTTCACCCCATTGGCTTCCATTTTTTCTTTACAGGCTTACACTTTGTTGCGTCTTGTTTCTCTATTTACTGGTCTTCCTCCTCCCGTTAGAGCCACCCTGTCCAATGATGTAGCCACTAGTCACGTGTGGCTATTTAAATTAAATCAAGTTAAAAATCCAGTTCCCTTACAAATACTCAAGGGCCCCATATCCTATTGGACCCTGTTAATATAGAACAGTCCCATCATCGTGGAAAGTTCTAGAAGACCGTCCCACACTAGAACACACCCTCCTCGAGGGCAGGGACTCCAGTTACACGCCGTATCCCTACAGGACCAACTGTCGGCCCCAGAAACACCTCCTTTAAATGTGAAATTTCTAGTTTTCCCAGCAAGGTTGGCATTAAGGAAGAAGGTCTCCCGATAAGCTGGGGCCCAAAGGAGTTAACTCACTCGGCCAAAGTAAAGCGAAAATAAGTAGACAGGAGGGGGTCCCCAAGCCCGGGAGGGGTTGCCCGGTATGGCTCACCAAGTAGTAAATGTGCTCTATCTGGCTCGTCAAGTGAGGGGGGACCCTGCGGGGAGACAGACCAGCTGGAGGCGGCGGCTCAGGACCCTTCCCCAGCACGAGCCATGCTTCAGGCTCCAGCGTGGCTCTCCCCGACTCGATGCCGTATTTGGGGCCAGGGCTCTCTGGGCCCCCGAGGGATGGGACGGGATTCTCTCCTGGGCGGGACTTCGGGCCGCGGTGGGCCCTCCAGCCCCAGAATCGCCCTCACCTGGGGAACTGTTTCTTGAGCTCATCCAGGACGTCCTGGTAGTTCTGGCCTGGAAGGCCGGCCCCAGGATGAGCCTGGAAAGGTTGCGGGATGGATAAACCAAACCCACAGGCCCCCTCACCCCAGGCTCCTCCCTCTCCCCCCAGGGGCTAATGCCACCCCAGATTCCTCACTGAAGTCCCTGGGGGCCTCACCATCCTTTGAGGGGGCCCCTGGGGGCTGAGATGGCCCCTGGAGGTCATCTTCAGGCAGTAGGCACAAGGGTTTTAGCCAAGGACTCTAAAAGTAACAAAGACGTCAGGTCCTGGGGCAGGGACAGAACTGGTCCCACCCCACCCCTGGGCCTCCTGCACCACCCACACGGCCTCCCCTCCAGGACCCAGTCCTGGGCCCCCATCCCCTCCCTGACCTCCAGCACCCCACCACATTCCCCACATCCTGTGTTCATTCATCAAACACTCTGATGCCTCCAGCTGCCCCGATTAACCGTGGGGACCTCAGGGGCCTCACCCTATGAGCGAGGAGGAGGGGAAGACAGTGCTGGACGCACACACTCCCCGCCAGCAGGCTGGCGGACCCCAGAGAAGGACACCAAAGCTTAACCTTAGTTTTGAGACAATTTCCTAAAGTACAGGAGTACATCACTGGAAAGGGGTTTTGTCGGATGAGTAAGAGTTGGCCAGGTGAATTAGGTGGGATTTATCCCACAGAAGAAGAGACCTCTCCCCCCCACAATCACTCCTGCCACACCAAGTCCCTTCCTAACTTCACTTCTGAGGCTCAACGCCCCTCCAGCCTCGTCCCCAGCCCGGGGACCCTGGGCTCCTGCAGGAGACTCGCCGGCCTACCCACCTCCCTTACAATAGAGGCCCGGGAGGAAGCTGCAGAGGTCAGCCAAGTTCAGGCCAAGAGGAAGCGGCTCCCCCCAACCCCGGGGGCTATTTGACCCGTCGGGCCCCGCCCCGCCGCCACCTGCGCCGCGAAGCCGAGCAATGAACGCGCAGCAGCTGCACGTGGGCTCGGGCTCCGCGGGCGGCCGCCGGCGGCGCCTGCCAATCGCCAGGCCGCTTGCCCACGTGGGCTGCAGCCGCCGTCGCTGATTGGTCGTCTCGCCCAGGTCGCTGGCCGAGCTGTCAATCAGCGCACGAGGCGCCGCCGCTTAACCCTTGCGGTCCCGCTGCGGGGAAGGGCGTGCAGGGCTGCGGGCAGGTTGGGGTCCAGGCCCGCGAGGATGTTTGGAAAGGCAAAGGGCTTGGGGTCAGAAGGTGCAACTTGGGGAGGGGCTGGGCGGCGTGTAGTTGCATTGTTTGGTGAGAAGCCTGTTAATTTTTAGCCATGCCCAGGAGTGAATTATGGCTGGGGGTGGGGAGCTGGGAATGGGGGGTCTTTAGGACTCTGATTCCAATCCTTTGATATGAGCTAGTGACATTTCCCTCAATATTAAATAACGTGCAATGCAAACGAAGATTCAAGCCCCTTTTCTGGGGTAAACAGCTCTCTTTTTATGCTTTCTTCGAGCCAAGCCCCGTGCTACACATTTTATCTGAATTTTCCCAAAATGCTCTCCAAGCCCAGGGACAGTACCTCTGAGAACAGAAAGCTGGAACTGCAACCGCATGGAGGCTGGTACCATTTTTCCAGGTTCCAGGTCCAAGGCCGAGGTGGGAGGATGTGGTGGGTATCCTAGGCCTGGGATGATGTCAGAGAGATGAGGGGGGATGTGGAGGGATTCAGGAGTTCTGTTTTGGCCCGTTTGAAATGCCTCCTCGAGATGTGAAGGGTCAGTCTGGAGTTTTGGAATGAGAGGCCACATTTCTGCCCACCCCAGGACCTTTGCACCGGCTGTCTCCGCCTCTGCCAGGGACAGCCTCCCTCCTCACAGCACCAGCTGGCTCCCTCACCTTCAGCAGTCTGCTCAGAGGTCACCACCTCAGTGAGGGCACTCCCACCCCCCACCCCAATTCTTTCTTACTTTTCTCCAAATGTGGATTGGAGCTAATCTTGGAATCTCAGTGGCCAGTAAGCCCTGCTGTGTTCAAAATTCATATAATGCTGAGAATTCTCCAGTTTGCCCCTTTCTGTGCTTTGTCAGTGGGATGGATGGACAGACAGACAGACAGACACACGTGACACTGAGGGTTCAGATCTTGGGATGTGTAACCCCCAGAGGTTATGATATAGACACACAACGGGTTTGGGGGCTGGTCTACGGAGCAGAAAGCGAGGGCTGCCATGAATGAGCTGCCAGAAAGGTTTTCACCCAGGATCCATCACCCAGCCGTTAATTGAAGTGTATTTTATTTATGGTCCAGCCTGCTAATTGCCTCCCTCTGTGCCCTGGGCTCTCCTCCTCTGACTTTCAGCTGGGCCCACCAGCTTACCCAAGGCTGTCTTGTCGCATCTGGTATCCACTGGGTACCTGTGGCTATTTCAATTAAAACAAATTAAAATTAAAAACTCAGTTCATCATGTGGCACTCAGGCCGCATGTCAATTACTCAGTAGCCACACGCGGCTGGGGACAACCGTCCGCACTGGGCAGGGCAGGTCTAGAACATTCCCATCGCCGGAGAAAGTTCCACTGGACGGCGCAGATCTGAGGTTCTTAAAAAAGAAAAATTCTGGGTCTGTGTAGAAAGTGGAAACATTTTATTCCATTCCCACTTGTTGAAAGCCCCCGCCTGTGGGGTTGGGGTGATGTTGGGTGCCTTCCATGATGTGTGGTCATCTCTGCTTGCCCCAGCCTGGCCAGCAGGGACGCAGCCTCCTTGAGCCCCCGGGAAGGGGATGGGTGACATAGCGGATAGAATGGGAGGAAGCAAAGATTTCCTTCTTGGTTTTTCAGTTGTTGTGGTCAACTTGGAAATCCAGGGTCTGGAGGAAAGTTGGAGAGAAAAGGGGTTTGCATTTCCAAAGCTTTGGGATTCCCTGGGCCTGCCCTGGGGACCTTAGACCCGCCCCCCAGAGGCCTCAGGGTCACCTGGGTTGGGTGTGGACCCGGCAGAGGGCTCAAGAGACAGCCCAGGGTGCAGAGGGGGCTATGGAGTGACCGCAGGGAGGTGACAGCAGGGAGGTGGTGACAGATTTCATCACCCCCCTTCTCTCCTCCATCCCCAGAACTTCCCAGAGGCCCACGTGGGCAAGAGACAACAGCCACGTGACAGAAGTGAGGGAGAAGCTGCAGAAAGTCCTTCTACCAAAGGACCCTGGTGTCCGGCCCGTGAATGAATGACCGAGAGGCAGAAGGACGGGGTCCCTCCGAAGACGCTGGCCAGGCTGGGAGATGCTCAAGGCTGGGAGGCCCCCAGCTGCCCCCACTCTCAGACGCCACGTGAACCCCCTTGAACTTAGACCTGCCCCCAGGAGAAGTGAATTTATTAAATTACCCAGAATTGGTAGAGATTTGCCTCTGCCACCTGGTGGAGAGAGGCTTCTATTCAATTGCCGGGGCTGCTGTTAACAAATGACCACAAACCAAATGGCTTAAAAACAACAGAAATCAATTCTACCACATTCTGGAGGCCAGAAGTCCAGACTCAAGGTGTCTACAGGGCTGCGCTCCCTCCGAAGGCTCCAGAGGAGGGTTCTTCCTGCCTCTCCCAGCTGCTGGTGGGGCCGCCATCCTGGGCGTTCCTTGGCTTGTAGACACATCCTGTCAATGGCTGCGTCCGTCTTCCCGTGGCCTTCTCCCCTCTGTGTCTGTGTCCAAATTTCCCTCTTCTTATAAGGACGCCAGACATTGGATTTAGGGCCACCCCACTCCAGTATGACCTCATCGTAACTAATTACATCTACAGTGATCCTATTTCCAAATAAGATCACATTCCCAGGTTACAGGGGTTAGGACTTCAATGTATTTTTTGGGGGGACACAATTCTACCCTCTACAGAGCTCAGACGAGAAATTAAGTGACTATAGCAACTCACTCAATCCTCTGTGAATCCT